AACATTTTTATCTTGAGAATTTCTTAATGCACCTTATGTGTTTCTTAGGCATTAACGTGAATTTTTAAAAATGCTCTAAGGAATCAGAAATGTATTTCCGAAACACACCAACATCTAATTAAAAAGAACCAAAATTGGAAATGTATTTCCGGTTTATAATCGAAAGTGTATTTCCGGTATTTTTCATTATAGAATGCAGGTTAGCAACACTTACACATTACATCAAGATTCCCAAACAAAACATAAAATTACATAAAGTAAGCAATACATATGAGATTTAAACATATATGCGACATTACACTTCAACATCCGGGTGGACGTTGTAACATCTTCAAAATTTCATTGGCCGTTCTTATAATCATCACATCAAGCTCGATTTGACTTTTTTCGTTGTAACCGAAAAAGGTTTCCCTCATAGCCCGTAATTTAGTGCTTGTTTGTATCTCTTTGTTGATGAAATCAAGCTTTCCATCGTTGTTAATGGAGAGTGGTACTCAATCTTCAAAATTTTCCGATTGTCGCAAAATGGTAAAAGTCTCAGTATTGTGTAATGAAGATCTTCAAGCAATTTTTACATGTTGGTCTTAAATTCTCTTGATGGTAGATCCCCGTTAACAAAGTGAACCTTTCTAACATGCCAAAAATATTCATTTTTTGTTTTAGTATTTAGACATGAGATAACATAAGGGAGAGAGATGGGTTTCTTATATAGTAGTTTGAGGATGTTATGGACCATACAGATCCTATCTACTGACAGAATGTAAATCAAAAATTTATTTCCGATTACACCATAACTTAAAAACTGAAAATACATTTCCGGTAAAGTCCCTGGTACTAAAAACCAGAAACAAAGAAATAACAGGAAGAGCGTATTGAAAAAAAATATAATAATAGATTTCATAACTACCAAAATGGGAATATTCCACGTCATAATTCATTAACAAAAAGTCATATACATCAAAGTCATATTTAAATACTTAAAAGATTCGAAGTAATTATCTTCCGACAAATCCACATGTGGTACACCCTTTGACTTTTCCTTGTTTTTTGCTATTTCAATGTTCTTCAACTTGGTGTACTCTTGCATCCTTTCAATGAACTGGTCCAACCAAGTCTCAAATTGGTCCATATAATGATTCTCCCACTCTGGTTATGTAGATGGTATAGGGCATCCCGATTTCAAATACACTTGAACAAAATGTCGAGGATTTGAAACCCACCCAACACAAATGATACGATTAGTGGAATTAGATGTTAGAGCATTGTGCAATGGGAAAAAAGTTTCTGAATAACCAAATCTTCTAAGGTTAATACACACCTTCTCATACGCACTTGCAATGAGATGATCCATTTCAGGGGAACACATCCATTTGTTCTTCGGTGCAAATGCTTCCATGGATGGTACAAGAGCGTTATAGATTTATTCAAACTTATTCTTATCCCTGTACACCCGTGTGTACTAATCTATATGGCTCCTCAACTCTTGGATAAGAGTTTGGTGGACAAGTGTGTGATCCTATTCTCCTTTACCGAGTAAAGCAGAAATAGCCCGAAAACCACAATTACCCTTACCATGAATATTGATGATCCAAATCATTGTGATTGTGCATAAAAACGAACATCTCCTCAATGAACGGTATTTTTGGTGGAGGCGGTGTATGCGGTGGATTTGGTGGAGTTGGAGGTTTGCTTATGCGAGCACCTTTGAAGACCTTTTTCGAGATTTCAATGTCGATGAATCGGGAAAAAGTTTCTCAACGTGTTCACCATACGATGGACTCCTCATAGTAGAATTTTCACTTGGTGTAGGTTTGACCTTTTTTGGCGCTCCTTTTAGTTTAACCGGTTAAGACGGTGGTTTTAAGTCAGTTGTCTCCGAAAATGCGATATCACTCAATTGCTTTTTGATGTGGAGTTTTGTGTTGTCATCGCCTTTCTTAAACCTTTCTTGTATCTCTTCCCATTCTGTCAAGATTGTGATACTTGACTTTCCCTCTTCCATTGTATTGTCGTCTTTAAAACTCAACCTCTTTCAATGACTACATACTTCATCCATTCGTATCGGGCTATCAAGTTTCACCTTCTTAGATATGACACAAGCACATGGGAGACCATATGTTTTCACAATTGTGCAACCACACTTAGAGGTATCGGAGCCTAAGAAAGAGGCTCATTTGAATTCATAAAAAATGAAAGGAATAAATTTTTGGTCCCTCTAAGTATCTCAAATTTCATTTTTAGTCCCTCTAAATTTTCCTTCCAAGAACAGTCCTCCTAAAAAATTAAATTTTAACTTTTGGTCCCTCCTGTAATTTAGCGACGATTTTTACAAATTAGCGACGGTTTTAGTGACAGTTTTTATTTAGAGACAAAATTAGAGACCATTTTAGCTACAATTTTGTGAGGAGGGACCAAAAATTAAAACTTCATTTTTTAGGAGGACCATTCTTTAAAGGAAAAATTTAGAGGGACTAAAAATGAAATTTGAGATATTTAGAAGGACCAAAAACTTATTTAACCCAAAATGAAATTAAGAGTTGATCGTGATATGTTGCCAACCAACTGAGAATAGAGAAGGTTGTCTTTGAACCTTTGTTCCAACACTGTGATATTACGACCAAATGATGTTTGAATTTCATTATGCTGGTTAAGTATCATCTGGTTCACGAATTCCCAACCCGTACACAAATCACCCTTGCTATTTCCCAACCAATTATTCAAACATGCATGAGCCGACTTAACTCGGTTTGTTATTGTATTTCCAAGATACATAACCTGATTTGTCCATGCATAAACAATCTTCTCTTTCATCCAATCCAAAATTATAGTCTCAACGTATTTCAACAAATTGGGGTATTTATCGCACACCTTTCTGAAATGTATAACAAATTCAACATATAAATCTTTGGTAGATGCATTTATGATAACATTCCAAGCAGCCATAATTTTCTCCACAACAACACCCGACTTAACTAGCTTACCCTCTTCAATCTCAATCTGACACGTCCCTATCGCTGGTTTTACGCGGCTTCTCACATTTTTAGTAATGTGATACTTACAAAGTAATACAGAAGAACTCGGAAACACCTTCACAACATAATTCATCAGTCTTGTATCGCGGTCAGTAATAATGACTTTTGACATGTTTTCTTGGTCCTTTAACATTGATTGACAAACCTCTAAAGCCCATGCAAAATTGTCCTATTTTTCTCACTCTAGAAATGCAAAACCAATGGAATATGTCATTTTAGTCGACGTAACACCGAAAATTTCCAACAGTGGCAACATGTACCTGTTGGTCTTTTACGTCGAATCAATTATAAGCACGGTAGGAAACGTATTAAACAATTTAATGGAATCAATATGATTCCAATATATATCTCTTACCGTTACTCCATCCTCACATCTCCGGTGCCTACAAACGTAGTTGTTATCATCTAAAAGCTTCACGAGTTGTTGCATTTTGGTTCGATCCCCTCTAAGTGCCAATTTTGCTTGGTAGCGATGATTGTAAACTTGTCTGATGTTTAAAATATTATCGGGTCTTTTGCGCTTCAACGTGCCAAGTATGTTTTTTGGAGAGACCAAATTTAGTGTCATGTCGGACACACATTCCTTCTCTTCTGCCAAGAGGCAACATACACTTGAATGACCGAATAAATTTGCACTTAAATCATGATTATGTAAACCACTTATGACATTGAACTTCCAATTATTATTTTCCAACCGATACCCACGTAGCCTAAATGGACACGAGCATTTTCTTGAATCAGTATCATCTCTTTTGAAATTCTTGATAGGCCGCCTATATATCTCACTTCTTTCGCATGTAAATGTCACAAATGTAGGTCGTCTATCCGAACTACTATCGGACCTTCCTATCACAACACCAAAGCCTTGTTTGGTGGCCTACATACAGATCCTCTACATCATGACATCTCGAGATTCATATTCTTGTTCATTTGTAAAATGCTTCCGTACATTGACCGCCTTGATAACAATAGGCGAAACAACTTGAGACAGAATAGGAGAATCACCTTGGAAAAGAACAGGCGAGACACCTTGAGACACATTAGGCCAAACACCTTGGGACACAATTGCTTTGGGACAATTATCGGGATGCACCATACCTAATATATAAAAACAAATTAAAATAAGAAATATCCTAGGCAAATAAGAAAACGAAGTTGTTGGAAATAACTGTTACAGGAACCAGAAGCACATTTCCGGTTAAGTTCATCTACAAACCGGAAATATACTTCCGGTATTAACGTGACATTTCTTCACAAAAAGAACTAACTAATGTGATTAATGTAGTTTGAAAAGAGGAAGCTTTAGCTTAAATTCAGTTTCTTTTAGCTCCTTTTGATATAATGCACCACAAGAATGTTGATTTTGAGTGAAAAATGCTATTGAGAATGTGAGGGTCTTTTGGAGAGTATTTGGTCACACTTTTGAAATGAGCATGACCAATATCCCATGGACCTTGTTGTTTTAAGTTTTTGGTTTCTCAGAATAAATCAGAAATGTATATCTGATTTATAGGTGGCAATTTTTTTGGTTTTTCCCGCACAAAATTTTCAGATATGTATCTCTGATTTTCCACCGTTGTTACATTTCCGATATGTTTCTTACATTAAATAAGGGTGTAACGAAATTTTGTCTGATTTAATAAGTGTAAGGTGCGCTCCGAAAATGCATTTCTGAGAAACATTTTTCAATTTTACATAAAGTCTTTTTTCCCTATATAGCGCGTCATAAGAAATCTCCATGTAACTTATGCTTATTCATTCATTCAAGCCCTCCAAAATCTTATTGGGCCTTTTATTACTACATAAAGTCCAGCAAAAAAACATTTCCTTAATATCACAAACATCTTTTGACCAAAATATCCAATTAAATCAGACTATATAAAAACCACACCACATATTTATCTTATCGTTATCATCATCATCACATTCTTCACCTAAAAATAACACTTGGCTCCACTATTATCAGTCATGTGTTCATCTGTTACTAATGTCTTTGAGATTGGAAAATACGCCACTCAGCTACAAACTGTTGATTCATGTTCATACAAACAATATGGTACAATTTTAATTAACTCTTCTATTATAATTCAATTGTATGTTTTCTTTTAAAATAATTTTTGTCCTAGTTCATGTTTACTAATTTTTTCTATACATGTTAATCAGCTCCACCACCAAAATCTCTTTTGATTGCAACTCCTATTGAAGGTGGAGAATTCCCAATTCTACTTTTTCTTCATGGATATGTTCTTTTAAACTCATTTTATTCTCAACTTATTCAACATGTAGCTTCTCATGGCTTCATTGTCATTGCTCCTCAGGTTAGTTCCCATTGTATACCTTTTGTTATAGTTTTAAAAATAGTGGTTTTTTAAAAAACATTTAAAAAATATTTTTTTGCACTCTAGTTGTATACAGTGGCTGGACCTGATATAAGTGATGAGATATATTCAGTAGCTGCAATAACAAATTGGCTATCAGAAGGACTATGCAAGATTCTTCCACCAAACATAGAACCGAATTTTCACAAGTTAGCCCTCAGCGGCCATAGTCGCGGCGGCAAGACATCATTTGCTATAGCTCTAAGAAAACAAAACATCACAACTGATCTAAAATTTTCAGCCATAATAGGAGTTGATCCTGTTGATGGAATGGATATAGGAAAGCAAACATCACCACCAATTCTTACTTATGTTCCTCATTCATTTGATTTCGATATGGCAACATTGGTCATAGGTTCTGGTTTAGGTGATGTAAAAAGAAACTCTTTGTTCCCTCCTTGTGCACCCAAAGGTGTCAATCATGAGAATTTTTTTAATGAATGTGACAAACCCTGTTGGTATTTTGTGGCTAAGGATTATGGTCATGTTGATATGTTGGATGATGATACTAGAGGAGTTAGAGGGAAAGCTAGTTATTGTTTGTGTAAGAATGGTGAGTCAAGGAAACCTATGAGGATGTTTGTTGGAGGAGTTATGGTTGCTTTCTTGAAAGCTTACTTGAATGGTGATAATGGATACTTGTTGGCTATAAGAGACAAGAAGGTGAGTGTACCTGTTGAGATGAAATTTGATCATTATGTATGAAAGTTAGAATGATAGGAAGTTTATGTTTTTGATATTTTGTTTGACTTGTAAGTCAAGTAATGACACAATAGCCATCTCTATACATTTTACTTGTACATGAACATATGTGTTTTCTTTTATATATCTATATTACAATTGGTATAAGAGGCCCAGGGCCTGGTTAAACAAAAAAACTGCATATTTTCTTTCTGGTGGTTAAGTTTGTTATTGGTTTGTCCAAGATTCATCTTATATTGATGGATAAACTTGGTAACTTTGGGCAATTTGTCATCTCCAAGTTGGATGGTCACTACAGTTGTTGAGTCAAGTTGATGGAAAACTTGTTTTGCAAAGTTTGACAAGGAGGAAGAAATATTTTTGATGGCTCAAGAAGGTTTGAGTACACAAATTAAGGAGATATGATTTCTTAATTCTGGATGTAGTAACCACATAAATAGAAACCAATGTTAGCTCTTTTAGTTTGAAGAAACCATTCATGAATTTACCAAACGTGGAGATGATTCAAAGATGTCTCTAATGGAAAAAGGTAACTTGAAACATCATATTGGGTGGCATAATTGATGGGAAGTTAGCTTAGGTTTAAATATTTAGGACATGTCTATTTATATATAGGTGGTAAATTAGCCAATTTAAATATTGAGATTTTTAATGATACCATGTCATATTAGAATGACTCGAGATGGTTTAATACTTATCAAGATTTTTTTCCCACCTTATTATGTTGAATTAAACCTCTAAAAATCTAAAAATATCTTTCGAATGTGTATATTCGAACACACTTTGTGAATTTAGGATATTGATTTATTTTAAATATGTATATCGGAACAAATCCCTATATTTCATTTTCAGAGAGATTTTGAATATACATATCCGAAATAATTTAATATCTCAAATTTCTTTTGATTTTATTTTAAAAAGATATTTCTTTATAATATAGTTATAATATAATTAAATTGAATTATTATTAATAAATAATAACTTAAATTTATAATTAAATACTAAATATTAAGTAAATTTATGATATGAAATTAAACAATGAATGTAATAATTAAAATTTTAATTATAATGATGAAATTTAATTGTCTTTTAATTTTTTATTTAAAATTATGAATAATTTTTGATAAAAAATATAAGAAATATTTTTTAATTGTAACTTTAAAAGTTAAATTAAATTTAGATGGTACTTTTTAGTTTTTATTATAGAATTGATAATTAATTATTACGTTGTAATTAGAAAATATATTACATTAAAAAGATATTTATATTATAATCAAAAATTGAATGCTATTAATAATTAATAATATTAAAATAGGACATTTAATATTAAACAAATATATACTTGTAAAAAAATGATGAATAATTTATAAATTATAGAGATCATCTATATTAAATACATATATATATCTCATAAGAAATTTGGGATATTGAGTTATTTCGGATATGCATATCCGAACGAACCCCTAAAAACAAAATATTGAGTTATTTCGGATATGCATATCCGAAATAACTCAATATTAAACTATTGAGTTGTTTCGGATATGTATATCTGAACGAACCCCTAAAAAACTTAAATTCGGTGCGTTCGGATATGCACATCCGAAGTCTGGGGGTATTTTAGGTTTTCCATCAGGGGCATGCAAGAAGACACCAAGGTTTGGAAAAAAAAATCTCTACTTATCTCAACCCTCATCGCTCTAAATACGAGACCTATAAGTGAGATGCTTAAGAAGTATCTATTTTGATCCACATGGGATGTTAGGCTTGAGCTACAATGTTGGAATTTTGTGAAGGAAAATTGCGATCTAAAACGCAGCGGAAAATTAAAATTTTCCTTTAGTGATCCTTACGAATGGGCATGGTCAGTGATAGAAATCATTACCTCTTGTGATGATTTAAACCTTTGATGTTGTGATCACGAACGTTGATGAATAACAACGTCTCTACTCAGTCCACACGAACAGATCACTTCCGGACACAGTGCTAGCTACTTACAAACGAAAACTTTGAGTGAGAGAATGAGACAAAATATACGGCTAGAAATCAAGACCGAATTTTCATCAAGTCAAATGCTTCAGCACAAGGGTTCTATTTATAGAACCACTTATGTGAGCTGCAAGCTAAAAGCCCAATTAAGGCTGCAAGCTAAAAGTCCAATTAAGCATACGATTATCATACCTTATGATATACCGCATATCACTTGAGCGTGTGGTACCTTACCATATTCCATATTTCACTTAAGTGCACCGTACCTTACAGCGTTCCTTATTTACTCTATCTCTCATCAACCTGCCCTTATGTGTGTGACCCTGTAGATTTTCGTGACGTGGACAATTATATTAAATTACACATTTAACATAATAAATAGTGAGGGATATCTAATAACACATCACTGCTACCCAAGTCAAGAAAATGTCATGTGATCTGACAAAATCTTTCTGTGATAATATTTGTGTGTACAATTACTCTTTTTCCCTTATGTCTATATTGAACACAAGGCATAAACCGTGTCACCCTTGTCCGGTTCAATATTGGACCCTTAGACATTTATCCTATTATGCAGGATAGACAAATTCCATCTAGGTCGCTCATGTCTCTCAGCATGCTTTATGAAGTACCCATCAACTGTCTTTATGGTCATCCAGTTACAGATAACGTTTGATCAACAATAAAGTACTTAACTCCACATCTAAGGTCCATAGTGGTTTCAGGTCAAAGGGGGGTATACACCATTATCACCATGAGAATAACTTATGACATCTTGCATAACATTCTATGTAGTATTCTCATAGTAGGTCAACTCAGTATAAATATTACTTTTAATATTCATACCTATTTCAAGACTTGATAACTCTTTATCCATGATCCATGAGGTGTGATCATCAGTCTATCTTCATAATAATCTCAATGCTTTAACCTTATCCCACTTTGAAATAAATCTCGACTATAGATATTTTAAGAATAGTGTTCTTATGTTTAATGGGATCTCATGATTAAGTCACACTTAATATTTCATTAAACAAATGAACTATTCTAGGGACTCTATTATTTTTGAAAAACAAACATAATAAATAAATGTCTTTTATTACGAATAAATAATTAGATACAAGTACTCAAAGTATTGGCCTCTAGGGCTTACACCAACAATCTCCCACTAGCACTAGAGCCAAGCAGGTATACCCCTAATACCCATAGATCTAGTATGTCTATCATGCTTCTGCTGCACAAGAGGCTTTATTAGTGGGTCAACAACATTGTCAAGTGTAGATACTCTACATATCTTCACTCTCCCCGATCAATTATCTCTCGAATGAGGTGATAACGCCTAAGTATGTGTTTGGATCGTTGGTGAGATCTAGGCTCCTTAGCTTGTGCGATAGCACCATTGTTATCACAATAGAGATCAATGGGATCCACAATGCTCGGGACTATGTCAAGTTCACTAATGAACTTCTTGATCCAAACAGCTTCCTTTTCTGCATTTGAAGCATCAATATACTCGACCTCGGTTGTAGAATCAGTAGTTGTATCTTCCTTTGGACTTTTCCAGCTCACAGCGCCACCATTTAAGCAGAACACATAACCAAATTGCGATCTAAAGTCATCCTTATCTGTCTGGAAGCTAGCATCAATGTATCCTATTACAGCAAGCTCTTCCTGGCCTCCATATGTCAAGAATGAGTCCTTAGTCCTTCTCAAGTACTTAAAGATATTCTTGACAGCTACCCAATGAGCATCACCGGGATCAGATTGGTACCTACTCGTTGAACTTAAAGCATACGAGACATCTGGTCAAGTACATAACATGGCAGACATGATAGATCCTATTGCAGATGCATATGGAATCTTAGTCATGAGATCCCTTTCTTCCTTGGTTGAAGGGGATTGTGTTTTTGATAAACATAGGCCATGTTGCATAGGTATGAATCCTTTCTTGGAATCATGCATATTAAAGCGTCTCAACACTTTGTATATGTATGTACTCTGACTTAGGCCAAGCAGTTTTTATGATCTATCTCTATAGATACTGATTCCTAATATATAGGTTGCTTCACCTAGGTCCTTCATAGAAAAGCATTTTCCCAACCAAGTCTTTACTTGTTGCAAGGTAGGGACATCGTTTCCAATGAGTAATATGTCATCTACATATAATATCAGGAAAATAATCATGCTTCCACTAACCTTCTTGTAGACACAAGGCTCATCTTCATTCTTGATGAGTCCATATTGTTTTACTGTTTCATCAAAATAAAGATTCCAACTTCTGAAAGCTTGCTTCAATCCATAGATTGATCATTGTAACTTGCATATCTTTTGGGCTTCATGTGGTATGTCAAATCCTTCAAGTTATGTCATGTACACATCCTCAAGAAGATTCCCATTAAGGAAAACAATTTTTACATCCATCTGCCATATTTCATACTCATGATATGTGTTGTACCCCAAAATTTTCTCTCCCATATTTCTCAAAACATTGCAAGAAAGATCCTCAAGTTGCTCAAGGAAGTCCAAGGGTTGACCAGACAAGCTCTCTCCTAAGGCAGTCTACCTCAAATTAGGGTTTCATGTTGCATCAAGATACTTGAGTCCAAGGGATCCCAAATTCTCACCAATGTCCTAATATGTTCTCAAGATCATCCATGACAAGTGTCAAGCCCTACAGAGAAAATTTGCTCAGTCAATTGCTCAAAGGCCTGAAAATCGATTGTGCTAGGGCAAAAGTCAACTGTGGCCTACATACAGTCAAACTTCAAGATTTTTGGTCAACATCCTCATTTTGAAGTGTATTTTATCATTTGATCAAGGGTTGATCATGATTCATCAAGGATTGCTCATAATTCATCAAGAATCAAAAGTTGCTAAATTAAGGTTTTGCAGGAAAAGTCAACTTAACTTTGACCAAGCATAACTTTCTCATACTTTATGAGAAATGACTCTTACAAATCTCATTTTGAAGAGGATGACATTCTCTACAATCCATCTTCATCTCCCAAGTTCAAAAT